GTGGTTGCGTCTCGATAGCTATAAGGGTGCGGGAGATATGAGGCTGAAAGTGGTTGAAAGTGGCTTTCTATTTCAAATGTTTTGTTAGATTTTTTCGAATTTGTTCAAATTAAATTCGAACATAAAATTCGAATTGGTTCGATTATAGAACGATTGAAAACGTTCCAGAAACGTTGAAAATTGTTCGTTTGACTAAACGTAAAAATTCTCTAATTAGTCTGGAAACGGGGGACCTAATTCTTGCATTCTGTGAAAACAGGTAAGATTAGCTATAATATAATTATCTTAATCGTTACTTTTTGCCCAGCGAAGAGGGTCCTTGCAGCTAGATTCTAGATTACTTAGAAAAACAGTCTTTTATATATATATACTATTACATACAAATAAAAACCTAGCGAAGCGGGATCTTGCAGCTAGTAATAAAAATAAAATGTGTAATTGTTTTTTTAACTATTCATTAAAATATATACAAGTATAATTGTTTATTAATTTAATAATTCAATGAAATAATAATAAAAAATAAAACATTAGAATGTGGTAGCCTTGTTCTTTCTCTGTCAATTATACATTTTTATAACAAAAGATGTCAATGAATAATGAGGATTCTGCAAGAAAAAACTTCCTTGCTTAAGGGCTCCACTTTATCAAGGAAATGCTGAATTAATACACTTAAGCATTGTTGTTTGATCATTATTAAACTCTTAAAATACAGAATACTACATACACAGTCTAATTTATATATCCTAAAATGAAAATTAAATAAAAACAGTAGAGAACAAAACTGTTTTAAATATACTATAAGCTAAGAATTACACTGCAACAGGCCTTGTGTAATGTGTACCCCACAGAAACCAAAACAAAATAGCCACATGGCAAACTACAGCCCACCAAATTCAAAACTAGCCAGTTTTCTGGTAATTCTAGATTTCTGGAAGACAGATATTTGCTCTGTACTGTATAACATATCAGCAATATCAGGTGATATTTATTCTTGATAGTGACAAAACCAAATGCAAATTTCAATCTTATTTCTTGATTTTACAAGAACAATTTTGAAAATATTTTCATCAAAATCTTATGCTATTCCAAGAAACTTACTAAGAATCAATATTTTACAACCAAAGTTGTTAGAAATTTCATAATCAAAAATTCTAAATTTAGTCTAACATTATATTCATATCCTATTACTTGTATGTAGACTCCAGAGTTCAAAGTACTTGACTAACTGTGGAAGGATTCCACAAACATTTATCAATCAGCTTTTAGAAATGAAACTTTTACAAGTTTTATACTTGTTCTTCTGATTCTACACTTGCTGAATGAGTGATCTAGTCTAAAACATTTTACTGAAATTAGTCCAATCTTAAAAATGCTTTGCATAATGTCTTATATATAAAATTATAAACATTTCAATCTTGAATTAATCTAGCAGATAGGTGAAAATTCTGTTACAAATGTTTTCAGTCTACTTCTAAGACCTGCTTCTAGTTAAATATTCAGAAAGGAAATGCTTTGAGTTACAACATTCCAAAATGAAATACATCCCCCATTGGTTATTTTTGAAAGGTTTAAATTCAAATTTAACCTTGACTCTTCTAATCATTCCATTCTGGAATGAATGTTATAGCCCGAAGCATTCCCTTTCTGAATATTTAACCTGAAGCAATCTTAGAAGTAGACTGAAAACATTCGTAACAAAATTTTCACCTATCTACTAGGTTAATTCAAGGTTGAAATGTTTATATTTTTATTCCTGCCTTGTTTTGTTGAAGACTGAACTGTTTTGCTTATATAAAATTCATCAAAACTGTGTTAACTAGTGTTTTTCAACTGAGATAAACATGGCCCTAGAGTTAAAACATCTCCGGGAGGTAAAAAAAAAAAAAGAATTTAAATCCAAGCAATTTAAAATCTTCTAGATCCAAGTCCTTAAAAATTCATAACAGTTTTTTTTACGAAATTCATATTATTTTATACATTAAAGGTATGAATTCAGTTACTTTAATGTATTAATATTTTGTTTTGACTGACTTCATGCCTACATTACAAAAGTAAATGCCATAGTACTTTAAATTGCAAATTAATAACTAAAAGTCAATGCAATTAAAATGATACAACTATTTAACTGCACAACACCAGGATGTATATAAAACGTACAACTCACCAACCAGCCTGTTTTGAATTAAGAAGAGACCTGAAGAAGTGCTCAGAAGGGGTAAATATTCGGTCACTTAAACATTATTCACACTGGTTAATTGGTTGGCAAGCCCTATGTTTTAATGATACAACTGATAACATATGCAACATTCATTGCATACAATATTTCAGTTTGTATTAACAGATGTTGTGGTAAAAATCAAAAATTAATGGAAAAGTTATTCAAAAGCTTTACTTGCAAAAGTGATTTAATAATTAACTAAATATGTTCCCAACCACCATAAAGTAAACAAACCATGATGCTCCGTTGTTGTTTGGGAACCCAGATGCTGTAAGTGCAAGTGAATCTTCATCAGGGAATTTGAATAAATGTTTGTTAAATCTTCAAACATAAAAATTTATTTTCAAACTGAATAATTTTTAAATCTGCTGTCATAAAGACCTATGGAGTAGATCTAAAACTTTAGAAAGTGATAATTTTGATAACTGCTAGACTAATTTTCAAGATTAGTGAGATTTTATGAACGAAGTAATCCAGTTAGAATTTGAAGTGGTAACATGTAAGTTAAAATACAGGGTGAGTCAAACGTCACTTAATACTCTTATCAAATCAAATTGAGTTGGGTAAAAGAAATTTTGATATTGCCGCAGCTCGCTCTTCCCACCATGTTGTTCATGGGGTAGAGGTTAGCAGCTTTGCCTATCGTGCAAAGGTGTCCGGTTCGAACCTCATTGATGCAGGCATTTTTTTTTGTGGGTACGTTCTCCTGGTCTGAGAACATATGTAAATACTAACAAATTACTATGTTTCTACCATGTCTCTATAATATATAACAGCAAGCTCTCAGGCTGACAGTGGTTCTTGTTCTCGTACTGCAAGCTGCAGGAGTTGTACATCGTCTGAGTTAATAAATACCTTTGTGTTCCTAACGACTGGTTGCAGTTTGTTCCTGCAACAATATGATAAAAACATGTTATACTTAGGGAAAACCATCTTTGTGTATGTTTCAGCTGGACTATCACCATTTTAAATTCACATCAAAATGTTTAAATGCAATCCTGCAATAAAAGAAATGAGGCTTGAATTTCAAAAGAAATGCAATAGTGACTTGTTTTCTACCTAACTTTAATCTGTTAAAAGCTAAAAAAATTAATATAACCATATTCTCTTTTTCCATGTGAATTAAATAATGCTGGGATGCAATACACGCTTGAGTGAAAACATTGCTAATTCAGACTAAGCTTTCTCCCAATTAATCCAAATTAGCCTCTAATGTTGAGGAGCAGATCACTTTGATGTCTGGGAAGAAAAGTTCATATAATGCACATTGTGACTTATCTTCAACTAATCAGTCTCTCAGAACTTATGCAGTAATTGTGCAACTATTACATGGAAAACAAGTAATACTTTTCCATGTAAACTATTACTTGGAATAGTTATCTACAGAGATATTATTGATTAAAACCATTTGCAATATCATGTGAATTCCTTTTGCCAAGCATCAGAATGATTTGGAATCATTCTTCCCATGTTAGAGGCATCCCAGTGTGGTTTAACACACATAAAAAAGGAGAATATGGTTATATTCATTTTTATAACTTTTCACAGATAAAAGTTAGATGAAAATCAAGTTCACCATTGCATTTCTCTTGAAATTCAAGCCTCATTTCTTTTATTGCATAATCCCATTCCCATTTAAACATTTTCAGATGAATTCAAGATGATGACAGTCCAGCTGTCAAACACAAAGATGGTTTTCCCTAGGCAGAACATGTTTCTATCATACCAAAATTTCTCCTGCCCAGCTCAGTTTGATCTTATAAGGAACTTTTGACTCATCCTTTACATTTATAAAAACCTTTCTTATTGTAATCAGAATTTTAGCTACAGTTTTTATTAACTTCAGGTAAACATATTTTATGTTATGAATGTGAAAAAATAAGGACATTGGAGAGTAACATGTGTGCATTAGGAAACCATGGAAATTTTTGAGGGACCAAACCAAATTAATAACCAGAATGATTGATTACCTCACTCTCAAAATTAAAATATTAATAAGTTACAAACAAAGCAATTAAGCATACCTATGATTTATGTGTCAATTCAGCCCATCAATCAAAAAGTTTGGGTATCACTGGTGTAGCTAATCATTGTCATTATCTATGAAAAATCTGTCACAAAAGAATCATAACAAGGACAAAGGCATTAGGTTTTCAACACTTAGATTATCTGTATTTCATATCCATACAAGTAAAGTCTGTAAAAATTTTTCACTGTAGAATGAGAAATCCCAAGATTATAGCAGCACATATGGGCTTCATCTGAGTGCTTCTTGTAGAGCCTCAACAGTCTAACCATCAACTAAAGAATGGTCAATCAATTAATTTAAGAAAGTACATACTTCCTATCTCTTTAAACCTAGCATACCATCATGTTATACCTTTGTGATCAGGTATGGTATAGATGAGAGTATGTTATCTATATTCTCATCTAAAACTGCTTTCAACAGTAATTGCTGATCTAGTAGGACACACTACTTTTTCCTATATGGCTGCCATTTTTTCTTTCATTGATACTAGTATCACCTCTTCAAAACTAGTTAGCAGAAAATGAAAAAAAATTTTAATTTTCTTTTATCTTTTGGCACAAACCAAATACTATTAACAGATTTTGAAAAAAAAAAATTTCATAATAAAATACTTTATGCCTATACTGTAAATTTTGACTTATTGAAATAAATTATTTCATTTCTAAATAAATATGAACGGTTAAAGGATGCCATTCCAGTAACAAAGTTGAATGAGTTTATTCATATATGTCCTCCTACTCTTAAACTAACATGAAAAATCCAAGTTTGATTATATTCAGACTGTCAATTTTTTGATAGCAGTCTTGATTAGAGTATCATCTCTCATTCATCTGATTGACATTATTGTAAATTTCTCAATTATAAAAGATTGACTGAAGCTGTTTATAGCTTTTGTAAAATGTGTCTCAAACCAATGAATCTAGTTTACTCTTGTCTAAATGGAAAACGTTTGTTTCATATCAAATTTAGCAATTATCTTCAAACTTTTAACTAAAAAAACAAGAATTTATGTATGTTACTATTGTTTGAAAAATTATACCTAGGAAAATTATCTAAATCCAGTTTATCAGAATTTAAAAGTTAGTCAGTCATTTAGTTGCCTTTCCTTGTTAACTGAATTTACAAAAGTCAGGAAATGATTATATATATGGAAATAAGTAAATGAATCCAGAAGTGAATCAACCATCCAAAAGTATTTTTGTTTAATTGTCTTCCAAGCCACAAGAGTATTTTCATCAACAAAATAAAAATAAACTTGATAAGAATCCATTAATTGTGGAAAATATTCAAAAAAGATACAAATATACACTGATCCTCTCCATGTTCATGAATAATTGGAACCAAGTAATCCTTCATAAACATCGAATTCTCAAACTTTGAGTTCCATTTTCAATGGTAAATTTATAATTTCTTCTAAGACTTTATATATTACTGCTGTTTTAAAAAATTTTCAGAAAAATGAATGGTTTTATTAAATAAATATACCATGCAATGATTTATAGTGCTGCAAAAATCATTTTAGTTAAAGACAAAAGAAAAAATAAACAAAACAGTAAGATTAGTTATGATAGATACCATACAAAATGAGTGAGTGCAGTGATGTTTTAGCACTGCACCTGCTTAAACATCTATTAGGTTGTTCGGAAAGTAAGTTCGTTTTTTTACCACTAGACAAATTACTCGTATTTTTTCCGCCATTTTTATTCTAAACCGTATTATCATTATATATTTTGACAGCTAGCATTTTAAGGCTTATTTGTAAAAAATTTTGTTTGATTTTGTGCATTGTTTATTTTTTGTGTCCCATCAAATATGGAACATCAAAAGCAGCATTTTCAACATATTTTGCTCTTTTATTACTGAAAAGATAAGAATGCTGTTCAAGTGAGAAAAAATTGTGGTACATGTATGGAGATGATGTGTTGAGAGAAAGACAGCGCCAAAACTGATTTACAAAATTTTGTTCTGGCAATTTCAATATTGAAGATGCACCACGTTCTGGATGGCCAGTTGAAGCCAATGAAAACAAAATAAAGGTACTGATTGAAGCAAACTGCTGAATAATCACTAAGAGATTAAATTTGTCAAATTGAACTGTTTATGATTACTTGAAACAAATGGTTTCGTTTCAAAGCTTGATATATGGATTCCATGTGTTCTTAAAGAGAGATGCTCTCTTTTGTGGGATTTTTTTGGAAATTTTTTTTTGGAGCTTTTACCAGACAATTTAACAATTGATTCAAAAGTGTACTGCCATTGAGTAAACAAATTGAGTAATATCATCAAACAGAAAAAGGTGGCCAGAATTGATCAACAAAACAGGTGTAGTGTTTTACCACGATAATGTAAAATTTCACACAAGTTTGGTAACTCATCAGAAACTGTTATAATTTAGATGGGAGGTGCTATCACACCAACCATATTCCCCAGATGGAGCACACTCTGATTATTACTTTTCCGATCTATACAAATTTTTTTTAACTGTAAGACATTTACTTGAAATGACAATGTCAAAAATCACTTGAATCGGTTTTTTGTAAGCAACGATCAAAACTTTTATGAATGTGAAATCATGCTACTACCAGAAACAATGACAACAGGTATTTGACCAAAATGAGTGATATATAATTCAATAAAATATTTATTTATTATAAAAATATTGTTTTTTTTTCCTCGGGAAAAAAACGAACTTACTTTCCGAACAACCCATTAGTTCTTCCAAGTGCCAACTCCAGTTTAAAGTGGTACATAATCTCCAATTTCCCAAAAGATCAAAACCTTTCACAAAAGTTGAAATTTTGGAGCATAAATTTCTGTCACAAATGATTAAATGCCTAAACACCGACATCCACAAACATCAAGAGTGTATGCAGGTACATTGAACTATTATATGACTTGATGCTGAAATCAGCATTTAACACCACTAATTTCAGCATTTGGACAAAAAAAAAAAAACAGAACTGTCTGACATGAGAGTATTTGATGCCATTTTTGGATACTTATTTACATGAATAAGTATTTTTACTTTTAGTGTTTAAATAATTACAGAAATAGACTTAATGTTGAGAATGATACAAGACTGATACAGAGTTCAATCAATTTAGTCTGATTAATGCAAAATATACAAATTATCCCAGCTATTAGAACTCTGATAATGATTTATAATTTTCTTTTAGTAATGTTGACATAAGAGTCTTTATGCATGAATATTGCTTTTAATAACCAATAAGATATTTTAATATTGAAAAACATTGAAAAATTTCAGAATTAATCATTGTATTTTATGCAAAAATTTTATTTTCTCAAGACAGTGCAATAAAACTCACACCATCTCTATATTTAACAAATAAATAACAAGAATAACTGCCAAAAGAAGAAAGTAAACATGCAGAAATGTAAAACTATTAAACACAAAAATAGTCATAGCTACTTATAAACAACACTGATTTTGTCATAATTGTAATAACATCTATAGACATATGGTAAAAATACAATTCAAAACTACAAATTTAACAAATAAACTGGAAACACAGCACACAATATTTTACTATGTCAAATCAAAATCTGTTACAAGTGCATCAATACAGAATTTGGAATCCCAACACAACAAGAAAAAGAACCAAAAGCAAAAGCCTATGGTCCTCTATCCAGATTCCACCCTCCGAACAGAGGAGAAAAATCAGCAACTCTAGAATAGATCCAACATGTCCCAAATCCGACATCGACGAAATAGCCCATTTCCAACCCTCCCTCCGGTCAGCAGCCCACCCAGTCACGTGCCATATCCTGATGATGATACCGACAAAGGGACGGGCCCTAAATCATCCCAGTGTAATCTCAGAGTCCCAAGAGACAGTGTTTGGTAGATAAATGAGTCTTACCCTCCAATAACGCAATCTTGATATTTACGACTGGTCCATCGCGTCAAAAATAGCATCCGTAATTTTTAATCGGCATACGTTGTACGAACGCACGATAAATTGTTAATTACGTCCGGTATACGTACTGTACATCGTGCGATGGCTTTAAACCTAGTGATTTTATTCGCCTGAGACTTTTAAGACTAATTTATAACAGCGACGAATCGGATTACGTCTTTCACCGTTCTTTAAGTAATTTTCGCTCAAGTTACAAAAACGCAGAAATTTCCTTAATGGTGGGCAGAGAATACGAGATTTCGATTAGTCTTTAATTTTACGACACGAACGTAATAGGGAACATGTACCGTAATCGGAGAATCTTCTACGCCATATTAATTCTATCATTAATCTGGATTTATCCGATTGCCACAGTCTATTAGTTTCGATCGGTCAGAGAATTAAACCTGGCAACTACGGGAATGGTGAAGAGAAGAGAATCCGGTCGACCGAGCGAGAAAAGTCGGGGTCTCGGGAGGACTACGATCGACGTTAATAATTAAGCTATTAGTAAATGCGTAACCGGATTAAGGCGTTCGTACTCGTTCTCACTCGAACTAACCCGGGAAAAAGGCAATTTTCGGCCGAAGGAGACGGCCCCTTCCGCGGGGTTGACGGTAAACAGCGTACGTATCCGACCACACGTCCGACTGCCACTTTTATCGGCGATTCCGTTTCTTTCCGAAATTGTTTCTGGTTTTTGTTAGCAAATATCACAATAGGCATTAGGCTTAGCATGAGAAGCAAAGACAGCGCCGATCTTACCTTTAAGTTGCGATATCGAAAAACGAAAAATTACAAAATTAACGGTCGGGGTCTCCACGCCAAGCATTCGTCCCCTGATCGATTTATAAAAGCGATATTAAATTTCCGGCAGCATTATCGATAACAAATCGTATGGTAAATAAACCGCATTGACGCACTCGACGTACACACGACGAGGTTCCCGAAAATGGTGGAACGGCCGGCGACGCGATGTCAAACGAAATTTCTATTAAAAACGTAAAAATTTCCGCCGACGTCTAAATTCATCCGGAAATAATTTTCCACCAAATTATCTTTCCTTCCCCTATTTTTTTTGGCGTTTAAAAATAAATTGGGCGTATTTCGGGTAGAATTATTTTAAAGTCCGGCGGGTTTTTTCTACGGAAGAGACACCCTGCGGAAAATTACTTACGATAGGGTGGGCGACCATCGCCGTGAATAACGGAGTCCTTAACTGCCTTCAGCTACCTGATAATTAAAATTGTTTTCGAACCGTCTTCACGGTATCTCGAGCTCCGTAAACTTTTGGTGGAGACATACGTAAATGAATATAATTTTTGGAAACATGAGACCGAATCGGGTGGTCGAAAAACCTCAAATTTTTCGGTTGTTGCCCAGATATGTCGGCTCTAATCCTCAATACGCAGCTGCCCTAATGTGGGTCTATCTGAACCCATGTTGGGCTAGAGAAAAAGTCCTCTTAATCCCCACAGTGCGGAAAGAATGAAAAGTAAATATATCAGATAGTTTCGGTTGCAAATGTATTTTTACAACGACAAACTTTTTTTAAGTCACGCGATTGAAAATGATACGACAAGCGAAAGACGGAGCACGTTACAAGTTCGTTTCGTTTGTAGTTAAAACTAAAACTTGAAAAACAATAATAATCATAGCATTATTCGAATGAAATGAAAGATATAAGCATTAATGGGGAAGAACGTCTAAAAACTGATAAGAAAATTAAGTTAGTCGAAAAATATTGTTACTAATGGTATGTCATAGTGGGAAAGGAAATCGTCACAATTATTGTCTTGGTTATAACATTTACTGCTTATAAGTCACGTAAGGAATCGTGCATAAACGATGTCACGCTAAAATTTCACATTTTTTATTGGCCTGTTTTTAAAATTAGCCTAGCCTTGACGTGAAAGGTAGGTAGATCTGTTTTACGGAAATGCTCGATTTTGATAACTGGGTATAGGGTCAAACTTTTGGGTTTAAGTTGATAGAGATAATGAAAATAAAAATTTTAAAAAGGACATTGGAGATTTGAAACTGAATAGTGGAAAAATTCGTACTCAACGTGATGACGTAGTGATCTTTATTTAAAAGATCAAAGAGAGAAAAAGTTCTTTTTGTAGAATTACGTGGTATCCAAAATTAGTATCCTAAATGAAAACGTGTTTTAAATTTTTTCGTGTCTTACCTAAATTAAGATATTGAATATGAGGATATAATTAAGACAGAGTGCAAGATAAAAGGATAGTCGTATTAAGTGATACAATTATTGTTCTACTTAAGGATACAACACAAAATATAACTTATTTTTTAAAGTTTGAACTATCACACATTTACAACCATTGTAGTATAATAGACGAGAAGTATAAAATTTATGTGAATAAACACTTAATTTCTTGTTTTTTTAGAAATTTTTTTAACTTGAAATGTTAAAGTTGGTTATCAAAACTGCCCCAATTACCTTATTATTGAGAAATTTTCATTTTCAAATATAATATTTTTATTTACTGTATTACACAATAAAGTTATTGTCTGCTTTATATAAACGACCAACATGTTTCAAATCGGTTTTCTATATTTTGTCGGATACATAGTACTGTAGTTTGTAACTAGTAATAGAAATACAGTATAATGAAATTATATACGGGGGTGCAAAAGTACGTATAGAGTTGTTATGGAAAAAACATGCAGGGAGAAAATAGGAAGAAAAAACATTTGTATGTACAAATTAAATCACAAATAAATAAGGAATACGAACTAAAAATATAATAAAAATAATAATGAACAAAAACATTTGTCCCAAAAAAAAGGTTATAAAAATTCAATGGAGTCAGAAAATTTCTTCTTTTGTTTTCTTACATAAATGTAAAATTTTTAAGAAAAGATTTTAAAAAGATATAAAAAAGAAATTAATCTGCAGAGAAAAAACTTTTATTTACATTATTACTAACAAGCTTCCCAAATGCATTTCGCCTACGGCCTCTTCAGTGGGGCTTACAGTACAAAATCTACGTTCTAACAGTCAACTCATTGAAGAGCCACTTATATGGTTAACAAAAAATTCCCAGCATTCCGCTGTTAACATTCCGGTATTTAAATTAACATTATTGTTTTGCATAATTATAGCGAAGTGTTCTTTTACCTTTCGCTTTACATTATTTTTTCCCTAAAAATTATTTTTAATTTATTAATATTTATCTGACAATTATTACTATTACAATGTTGGAAGACAGGAGAATTACTCATTTTCAACCTTACGGCAGCCAAATGTTCTGACAGTCTGATCCTTAATCTTCGTTTTGTTTCACCGACGTAAAATTGAAGTTTTATATTATCCAAAAGTCAGAAGGGAAAGAAAAATATAATTTTTTCGTAATTTTACATTTATGTAAGAAAACAAAAGAAAAACATTTGTATTTCTCAGATTCTCAACTGTATACTGTACTTACTTTTGCAACCCTCCCGTGTATAATCGGAGATTTTAATATTTTAATGAAACTTGATAACGTTGATACAGTTATTGAATTATTGTTTGTAATTTCCAGTGACCTAACTATATAATGATACTGCATATGTAGCAGTGGCATGCCGTGACATTTGATGATAAGGAAGCTGTGTTTCTGTAAAAAGCCGACTTCCAAGGGCAATTAGTCAGTGATGGTCTAGGGCAGGGGTCGGAATTAGCGGCTCGCGAACCGCATGCGGCTCTTTGCATAGACGTTTGCGGCTCTTCGAACATAAACTCCAATTTTACCTCACCTCATTTCACCGCAGCCTTATAACATAAATTTATGAGATAGAGCCGCCGAACAAACTTCGACTCGCACGGCATACTCTCTACCACTCTAGCCCGTTCGCACATGACCACACTCGCGTTGATCAATATGAGTCGCATGCGAGTGGCAGCATTCTTTCTTTCTTTCTTATCTTATCATATTAATATGGAGACTTTAGCCTGTTGGCTTTTTCTCCGAATCACTCCGCTTAGAAATTAGGTAAAGCGGTTGGTGCGGTGAACAAAACGCTTCAAGATTTCCATATGTTGGCGAGGAGGAAGGTCGGTATGAGGCCAGTATATCGGAGTTAAGGTTCGGACGATCGTAACATCTAAGGTTAAGAGACGGCCTACCTCTTGGCGGGCCCCTGTGTATTGCGGACAGACTAGCCAATAGTGGAAGTTTCTGGCGAGCCACAGTAGGGGCACATTGGCGTCGAGAATAGAGAAAATTGTTCAAGGGGGCCGTATCGGTTCGAAGTCTAGCCAATAGAGTTTCTGTGTGGCGAGACGAGGCGTGATGGTATATCCAAGGTACGAAAGGTCGGAGATGGTCGCGACCTTTTCCCCGAAGAATGGTAGAGTGTAGTTGAGTGGCAGCATTTAAAGCATATCTATATATACATAAATTATTTTTTTTGCGAAAAATACGCTGAACTTTGGAGACATCATTAATATAAATATAATTTTTATGGACGTTAAATAATAAATGGTTATTAGTAGGTCCGCTGCTCGTTTAAACTCAACGGTTTGTACTGTACAATATCCGCTATTGGTCTAGATTCGACCAATCCTGTCGCGACACGGGTCGGCGGTGACGTTTTATGAGTTTTATACGAGTTTTTTTAGCGTGTTTGTACGAATACTGTCGCAATTTTTTCGCCGTCATATAGGATTCCGAACTATATGAACCCGTGTTATATGGGGGCCGACTGTATATAATATAAAACAGAGCCGGAAAACTAAAATAACACAATTAAATGTCATAATAAATTAAAACACGAAATCGATATATAAAATACGTAAATATTATTTAATAAAATAAAAATTACTTATAACTTAACATAGATGTGTCATTTAATTACAACAGTTGTGAAATTTAACATATAATGTGAATCTTATTCTTTATTTAGAATCTTACTTTAAACTGTTTACTTTACAACTTGAATCTATTCAAACGAAAAGCAAAACAAAAATAAATCATAATGTGTACATACATAATGTGTAAAAATAAATACATTACAATTTTTTTTTTTTTTTAACTGTTCAAAGATATTCCTAAACTTTGAACATGCTAACTGTGGATTTAAAAAGTCCATTACGTAAATTTTAAACTAAAGGATACAAAACGCGTACGGGGCACCAAAAAGCTGTCAATACATAAAAATTGCAGGAAGAAATTGTTAAAAATCGACAAATACCCACAATATAGTATATATAGCCAACGCGGAAAAAACCAAAAATAAGTAGCAAAAACATTCGAAACATACAAGCATACCAAAAGAGCGAGGGAGATTTGACTTAGATATGTAACAGATTACGTTTAAACTTCAAGCGGATTTTTTTTTTTTTTTTCATTGCGCGCACAGTTCGACCTTAGAGGAAAATTTTCGTTCGAAGTACGAGATACCACTGTAATTTTTTATATTTTCGGCTATTGCGGCTAGTGTGAGAAGCCGAGTGCCCTAGATAAGGGGTGGCCAACAATTTTTGCCCCCGAGCCGAATTGGAAAGAGAACTTTTTCCACGGGTCGAACCAGAAGCTGCCCTAGGAAGATTTTGAGGTGGTGCGAGATCTCATTGTGATGTCACCTCGTAGAGACTAAATTGTAGATAGAGATTACAGATACATTTTCCACATTATCATGCTTTATCAACATTCTACGCTGTACTTAAGAGATTTGTAATGGAAGGTTAACTCTAAATACACAGTGAGTGAGTTGTTGACCTTTTTTTTATGCGTCAGAATTTTTCATCGAGCTATTCGGACTTCAGTAGCTAATATTGAAAGATTGATTGTGGGCCATATAAATTCATTAGACGGGCCGGATTCGTCGTATGCGATCCGAACGTCCGGATTCCGCGCCCGTATGTAGGCCATGCCTGCCCTAGATGCTTTTGTCCTTGTGCATTTGCAGTTTGCCGAAATTCTAGTTACGCCACTGATTATAACTATCATGTAAATTCTAATGGATTACC